GTTAGGTTTCAGTGTTTAAATTTATGATTTGAGCATTTGGGTGTTTGATTTTTCTGGTCGAATGTAGAATTTGAGTGTGTGATTTCAGCTGTGTAAATTTTTGGATCCAGATTTTGTTTGCAGGGTGAGAATTTGGATGATCACTTTTCAGCTAACTTTAAGTAGTAAATTCTGATTTGGAACTACAGCCCACTAACTGCATTGTCTTTATTTTTCGCTTTTCAATCACTGATAATATGATATCACTTGTGTGAATTATATTTCTCATTGACATTGGCATCAATGATTCAGTTGTGTTGATTGCTTTCATCTTTAGTCGGGCAGTCTCTAGCTCTCTCTGCCCCTCTCGTTGCGCTTTCTCCGTCCTCTCACATCGCTTGCTCTCTGTTCTGCCCTCCACCTTCTATTTTCCTTGCAATTTTCTTTCGATTGATTGAATCTAATTATTGCTTATCTCTCAAATTCTGCAATTTGATTATATAATTTTTCAATTGCTAAAGAACCCATCTGACCTCCTTTGGGTCATATCCTTCAGAACCCTTCTACTTTTGCCGGGTTGCTGATTTTGTAGCTGAAGAAAGAGAAGGATTGGGGAAAAAAGTTGAGAATTTGGAAGCTGGGTTTTGCTGGGTTTCTTGTTGCTGCCTTTGTGGTGGGGTTTGCTTCAGGGGTGCAGGCCCGCACTGAGAGAATTTCACATAGGAGACAGAAAGACTATGTTTTTTTTTTTCGATTTGCATGATTTTATTGCTCTTGGGTTTTTGCCATTTTTCGATTTTGAATTTCATTATGCTACCTTTATGCTTCAGCTGCGACATGGGTTTCGATCAAATGGAATTTCAGTTTTGATTGATGGGGTGTTCGTAGGTTTGGTATACTTTTGGATCTGCTATCTAAATTTGTGTTCAATTGGATATGTGCTACCTTTTGCATTGGTATATTTTGTGAACTTGGATATGTTCGATTGGATATGTGATATCTGCCATCTAAATCTTCAATTTTTCTCTTAAAAATAATAATAGTTTGAATTCCTCTTATCTGGTATAGTACCAAATACAGTATAAATAATACGGTCATTAATCTGATATTGCAACAAACACCCGACTAATTTAGTCGGTACTCTCCGATGACTATTTATCATATTCGACTGAAATAGTCAGTACAGTCCTAGTTGTCAAACAAGGCCTTAGACTTTTCAATGTGGTTGATGCCATTTTTCTTCTTTCTTGTTGTAGTCGATACTATTAAAATGGCCGGCAGAGCTCATATCCCCAATAAGAGTTCAGCGCTCATTGCCATGATTGCTGATGAGGTATGGTTACTCAATTTTTGGACTGAATCTGTTCTGGCATTCTGATTTGTCTTCCTGATGAGACGATTGGTTATCATGTAGGACACTGTAACTGGATTTTTGCTGGCTGGAGTGGGTAACGTTGACTTGCGAAGAAAGACAAATTATCTCATTGTTGATTCAAGTATGTTATGACTTTATTTATGCACAACTGTTGGAACTGCAACTATACTGGTCACCTGTTTCTATATATTTGTATGCAGATAGGTTAGCAGATGGACCAAAATGCCAATCTGGTATATGATTAGCAGTCTATTAGTCAGATATTTTTGCCGTCTAATGCTGTGGGTAAATGAAAGGGAGAGTTGGGCAAGGGGAAGGAAACGACTAACTTAGAGGAAATGAAAATCTATGTAACCCCGAAGTATCGGAGTGTCGGACACCCCGACACGCCGTAGGTCATCTGTAGTGAACCTTCCCGTCTTGTTATCAAGAAAAAACAAAAAAAATAGGCTGCCATTATTCATTAGCGAGCAAGGTATAATATTACATTTTGGTCAGCTAATGGTATGTATTTCTGGTTTTCTTCTCAGAAACAACAGTGAAACAAATTGAAGATGCATTCAAAGAGTTTACGACAAAGGACGACATTGCAATTGTCTTGATCAGCCAATATGTAAGTTCTTTCTCATACTTAAAAGTTCTACAACTGTTATGAACACGACTTTTCTGGTCCACAAGGAAATTGGTGCTCGAGCGGTTGCCAAAACTCTTCATGTAATGCAAATGTATCCATTTTTTTTAAGGGAAACTAATGAAAAGGGCTTGAAAACTTTGAGTTTTAATGATAAGGACAAAATAAAGGGTAAAGTGAATAGTACCAGGATTGACTTTTTAGTGTAAAAATGTGGTTTTTCGTTAAAGTAAACAGTACCATGAGCTTTTCGTTAAAGTTCCATTTTTTCTAATCTGAAGTTAGTTTAAGATTATTTCAAAGGGAAATGACCGTTTTCTTCTCTTACCAGGTTGCAAACATGATAAGGTTTCTAGTCGATAGCTACAATAAGCCGGTTCCAGCTATTTTGGAAATCCCTTCCAAGGATCATCCTTATGACCCTGCACACGACTCGGTTCTTTCACGAGTGAAGTACCTCTTCAACACCGAATCTGTGGCATCAGGAAGGCGGTGATCATCAAGTTTTTCGATATGTTTTACCCGAGAGGTTGCGGAAAATAAGTGTTGCTTTCGATACCATGTATGTTTCTGCCATTTTGTTCACACCAAGTTCTGTGCTCCTCACTGACTGTTGGTTGGTATGTCTTTGTATTTAGATTCCTTTGGTGCCTAAAACCTTATCTATAAAATACCAATTCAAGTTTAAATCTGTCATTTTATTTTCCTTGTAATAATCACCATGTAAAAGGACAAGTCCATTATTTATGTAAGTTCTCGTTTTTGGGGATTTTCACATGGTAGTCGTCAATAACATCACATTTTAGAGAAAAACGCTTCAAACTCAATACTTTAGAGAAAAATCTTACATACTTGATACGGTAGATGGGGATTAGAAAGCAAATTATACTTCTCCCAACTTACATTTGACGATGATTCAAGTAATTACACCTTTCCTTATCGTGTAGAAGGTTCAAACGCACAGCATTATGTGATTGGTTAAGATGTACTATTTTAGCATGTGTACCTCAGCTTCAGGTAGGTTTTGCGGGATCTCAAGCACTCTTGGTAAGATTTAGCTAACATGGGAAGATTAGAATGAAAGCAACTCACATAAAACAAATTTGTCGCCACATAACGTTCGGATAAAAAAAAATATTAAATATGTGTTAATGCTCTCCATGTAAATCGTAATGAAATAGCTTATGTTTAAAACAAACAAACTGATCATTGAATGGATAAGCTTGAAAGCAGATCAAACTAATTTAATCCAAATCCAAATCATTAAAGAAATATTCAACTAGCCGCCACCACCCATTTTCACATTATTTTCTTTGGAAAGAGACCCTCTCTGGATATCTTCATTCAAAGCTTAGGAATCAAGTGATCTTGACCTTTAAAATTTGATTCAACGACTAAAATAAAGATGAAGTGATCCAGCTTTTAAAAGTTTTTTTTATCGTTAGACCAAATTTTAAAAACCCGAATTACTTGATTCTTGTGATTTAAAAAGAGATCTGATAAGAATCTCTTTCCATTTTCTTTCACCTTGGCCTCATAAAATACCAATATACAAAAGAGGCATTGATTAATAATTAATTATTTAACATTTTTCTGGCCACCAAGCTCAAAAGCACAATTCTTTTATTAATTAATTAATTATTTATATATATTTGGGGACCCATAAATTAGTGGTGGTGGTAAGCACAAAGACAGAAACATGGAACTTTCTATTTTTATTTCCTTTGAGTGCCTTAAAAGAGAGAGAATTAATTGGACCCCACAAATATAGTGGGCCCATCGAAATGTGTGGGGGCAGTTCTGTGTCTATCCACAAATGGAGAGCAGCCGCAACGCATCATTGTCCATCCAATTGAAACTCAAAACGTGGCTTTGTTTGTAGTATTTTATCGTGTATTGTGCGATTAGAAATTTTTTGAAATTTTTTTATTAAAATTAAACACAAATATGACTTGACGAAAACTGGTCGCACGATGTACGATGAACGGCTAAGATTTAGAGATCCCTAAAATCCCCACAATGTGAATTCGAAGAGGACATCTTCCTTTGTTTTGGATGTGGAAGGAAGAAGAAGTCGTCTCTTTCTTTCAGCATGTATGAGAAATCAACCCCCAAATAAACTCTTAATCGAGAATTTTTTCAACGTGTTGAGAACACAGTCCAATTTATTAATTGTGTTGTGGTACTTGGTTTAACGAATTACGTTTCTTGTGCACAAAAAGATCTCTCCTCTTAAACGTTATATATTTTAACTCAATCACGTATTGTTATGTAAGAAAAACAAAATGTATTTAATGGGATTTAAGAAAAGGGTTTGTTTCCGGTTGGACTTGGAACGTCACAAGAAGTCTTCTCTTCTTATCAACACATGTGAAAAATGAGCCACTTGATGAGGAGAATTGAAAGTTCCCTTGTAAGAAAAGAAAAGAAATCGAGGCAAAATATGTTGCGTAATATGAAAGAAGGGAAATTGAGAGCATTTTTTTCAACACAAAAATCAACTTGATTGAAATTAATATTAGTTTTTCTGATTAGACAATGATCTAAACGCATAGATGAAGAAATTAAAGTAGAAGAAGACGACTCATTTCATTGATCGACTGACCTAACATACGCGTGAATAGAAATAAATGTAATTCAAACACATTTGATTCTCTACAATCCGCAACCAAAAGGAAAACTTCCCTATCCACCGTTCTTCTAATATTTTTTTTCTTATTTTATCAACCCCACAGAATATTACCATCCATATTTTCAGACAGACATTCATTCTGAATCTCACTATCTAGAGTCTAAGGATCAGGCAATTCAGAACACTCAAATTGAATACGACGAACCTCATTAACTCATTTTGTTAGCTCATCTTATACAAACTCCAACGTTTCTTTCATACAAACTAAGAACCCGAAGGAGATTGCCTTCAACTCATCATAATACTAATATTAAATTAGGCCAAATACCAAACAATAAATAATGTTCAACTAAATTACAAAAGAGTGTTGTCCAATTTTTAAGGATAAAATCCTTGACCAAAATTAGAAAGCACTCAAAGCAGACGATAGGAGAGAGAAAACTAGAGAGAGAAACAGAGAGGAAAGAGAATGATGGATAAGGTGTTTTCAGTGGAGGAAATGGCCGACCAGCTGTGGTCTTCCACAGCGCCGCCTGCCAATGACGTAGCCGCCGAGGGTGAACTGAACCGGAGTGCATCCGAGTGGGCCTTCCAGCGCTTTCTCCAAGAAGCCTCTCCCCACTCGCCGTCACCCTCCCCGCTGACGCCGCCACCTCCGCGTCCTTCTTCTTCGTCTTCTTCTTCAGCTCATCATCACGACCAAGACGACGTCAAAGAGATCAAGATGGTCAATTCCCAGCACCCCCACCCCAATCCAACTCAAACTCACTGCAACAACAACACGGCGGCGTTTAACCTGCGGCCGCCTAATGTCGCCGTCGATTCCGAGGAGTACCAGGCGTTCCTGAAGACCAAGCTCGATCTCGCCTGTGCCGCCGTGGCTCTGTCGCGGGTAAAGTTTCGTCCTTTTCTCTCTTTCTGAGCATTTTCTTCTCATGGTTTCTTTTTCTGGGTTTGCTCTGTTTTTCCGAGAAAATATGATCAAAGTCAAACCAATGGGTTGGGAATGAGCTTAGCTTCTGTTTGGTTGCTGAGAAAGTTGAAGGGAAAAAAATTGAACTTGAAATCTATTAATTAATTATTTATTTGTTATTTACGTAATTATTAACTCTTCGTTTTTTCTTATAGCATTTTCTCGGTATCCAAACAGAGTCTATCGTTTGGGATTTGCTTTTGTTGGGAACGCTGAAGTTGTGCTCATAAAGTCATGAGCGTTTTTGTTATAAAACTTTTTTCTTATAGCTTTTTCTCGGTATCCAAACAGAGTCTATTAAGGTGCTTCTCCAAAAAAGCATTTCTACGATCTAAAAGCGCTTTTAAGTTTTTAGTTAAACATGATTTGAAAAACTTTTACGCGCCTTTAAGTTTTTAGTTAAACATGATTTGAAAACACTTTTACCCTTGAAGTTAAAAAGTTTTTAACTGGTTGGTTGGTTAACTTGGTTTTGTTTGATATGCTTGAATATCATTTGAACGAGCTAAAATGGAAGGGAAAGAAAGAAAACTTACTAATTCGGATCCTCCTTGTAAAGATTTCGAGAATCCGTGAATCATATTTGTCATCGTACATCTTACGATTAAAAATTATTTTAAATATTTTTATTAAAATTAAATATAAATAATACCTGATAAAAATTAATTGCGACGATTTACAAATTCCACCAAAAGGATTCAGAGAGGATCATGTTGGAAAACTTACCACTTTGACTTGAATGTTGGACCTTTCGTTGTGGATTTGTGGGACCTCCTCAATGGTAATAGCAAAAGTAACTTGCTCCCATCAAATCTAACCGTTATATTGAGAGTTTTAACGAAATATTTCTGATACTGTTCATTTTTAACGAAAAATTATATATTTACCTATTTTTGATACTATTCATTATACCTTTATTTGTTATTTTTCATTAAAACTAAAGTTTTTTTGAACTTTTCGTTAGTTTTTTTTTAAAATATATGTTGGAACTAATGTAGCTATTCAAGAAAAATTACTTGGCTACTGCAAATAACAACAAAGTTTTATCCTATTAAGTCGACTCTATGAATTTTAAAACATCATTGCTCAGTCTTCCGTTAGCTCCATGTGCTTCATATATTTTCTTAAAATCTTCTTTACTTCTTTTGCCTTGAATTTGTATCTCATAAACGCATTTTCTAACCGGAACATGATTTTAAAGTCCGAACAAATTAAGGAATGTGTTTTCCCAAAGAAACTTTCTGAAGTAGGGTTCTGAAGGTCGAGTAATCTTTTCCAACGCTTGAAGCGAGAATCGACACGAACAGATCAATGTCTACTTGCCCTACTAGATTAGAAAACCGTAATCTTGTTCATCTGATTAAATGGGATCATAAGCAATGACAGAGCAGACTGTCCTGAATGAGAGAGAGTAAAATGTCGATTCTCCTGTTGACATCTAATTCGATCTTCATGAACTTGTCGAGAATTTTTCTTACGAAGTTTTGTTATGTATGGACAAGTGCTAGCTGATATGTTCTCGTCGTGTCAATAGGGTTCGTTGGTGAACGCTCAAGAATCTGTTGCGTTAGCTGACAGCGGATCACACGCTTCCAGTACTTCACAACTCGGATCTCAAGCCCCTTCGAAAGATTTACCTTCGTTACCTGCAACGCAATATAGATCTGCGATCCCAGTAAGGCAAGCAACTAGCGGATCCTCGAGAGAGATGACAGATGATGAGGAAGCTGAAGGTGAAACTGCAATGAACGAGAATATGGACCCTGCTGATGTGAAACGCGTGAGAAGGTAACACCGATATCTGATGTTCTTGTTGTAGGCTAGGTTTCGGCCCTGCATTACATGTTCTGAGTGCAAATGATTGTGACACATTACATGTTAGGTCTGCAAGATAATCATTTTTGCACCACACTTCGCTTGTGACCTAAATAAGCACAGCCTAATCTCCATCTCTTAATTATTGATTCAAATGTTTGGCTTTAAATACGTTTGGTTTCATTGCCTTCCGCGAATTCATACCGCCTTTTCCAGAATGCTGTCTAATAGAGAGTCAGCTAGACGCTCGAGAAGAAGAAAGCAGGCACATTTGACTGAGCTTGAGGAACAGGTGCGTTCTTTTTTTGCTTTCTCGGCTTCCTGTTTTATCTGTCTTTTCGTCTCCTGTAGATTTCCTAATGCAATTTTCTTTACAGGCATCTCAATTAAGAGTCGAGAACTCCTCTCTGATGAAGCGCCTGACTGATGCGGACAAGAAGTACAACGAAGCAGCTGTTGACAATAGGGTACTAAAAGCTGATATCGAAACATTGAGAGCAAAGGTAAGCCTGTCATCAAAACTGCTCGAAAGTCAAATGCCTTGGTAACTGGTTCCTGAAAACCTCGTAGAATATGAACCGAAAAACTCGTATAAGCTTTGTTATTTCGTTTGTGACTAAATTCCAGGTAAAGATGGCTGAGGAGACGGTGAAAAGGCTAACTGGGTCGAACCCCATATTCCATGCCATGTCGGAGGTTTCCTCAATCGGCATGGCACCATTTGATGGAAGCCCTTCAGAGGCATCAACAGATGCTGCTGTTCCGGTGCAAGATGACCCAATTCAATACTTTTTTCAACCTGCTTCTGAAAACCCTACACCAACTCATGACCCGAGAGTCGAGAATGATTCTGCAGACGTTCCTTCTGTTGAGAATGTGCAGAAGAATTCTGCAGCAACACCATCAGCAGATGTGTCGGGGAACAAGATGGGACAAACACCTTCCCTACAGCGAGTTGCTAGCTTAGAGCATCTGCAAAAGCGGATAAGGGGTGGAAACCCGTCCAATGGGGAGCAATAGTTACAAACAGAGTGATCTAAGAACGAGGAAAGATTGATTAAAGGTTGCTTTGAACAACCATTGTATTGCATCGATACTTTCGGATTAGTTATGTAAAAAAATGCTATTCTTAATCGTACTGCACTGAATTATACAGTTTGATACTTTTAGCACTTTCATTTTTCTTGTCATGCACGGAACAGATTATACTCATTTTCCTTACATGTCGTATTCGCCTACTCTTTAGCAAGTGCTCAACAAATCGAAATCCAGATCAATTGAAACATGCTACTAATTTAGATTCCACGAAAATTATGGCCTTCTTCGACGTATCATCAAATGTTACAAATCGAACAAATTCAATCGGAAAAAAAAGAAAGAATCAATTTTACATTCATATCTACAACTAATTCAGAACATACTGCTAACGGCTTGAAGTTTGAACCGAACTACAACCGGCTTTGTTTTCGATTCCCTTAACCTTCATTTCCTGTCTTTACCATCTCCACATCCTCCCTTTCAGCAGATGCATAAATGTTCGACAACGCAACATAGTCCTCGCTCTTTAGAGTCGATTCTGCAGAACTCTGTTCTGATTGTATGCCGAGCAGCTTCGTCCCCACCTTGTCTCCCACTGCAACATCCCCATGGAGGTTGCAAGCACTTAGCAAACTCCTCCACAAGACGGCATCAGGTTCAACTGGCATCCGTACTATAAACTCATAGGCTTCTTTCAAGTGCCCTCCGCGGCTAAGCATGTCAACAATGCAGCCATAGTGTTGCATCCGAGGCGAGACACCAAACTTGCTCTCCATCAAATGGAACAAATAGAGGCCTTCTTCAAGGAGGCCCGAATGACAACAAGCTGAAAGCAAGCCGGTTAAAGTCACTGCATTGGGTTTTATTCCAGAACCCTCCATTACCTCCAAAAGCTCCAATGCTTCATTGCCCTTACCGTGAATGGCTAGCCCGGTCGCCCTTGCTGTCCAAGTCAAGACATTCTTCTCTATCATTCGCTTGAAAACCGACAAAGCGCTATTGATCAAACACTTTCCTTGCCGAAACAACATCGTTATTATTACCATAAAAATATATCAACGTTGTTTGCACCGAAATGTTTGATACGACGTCATGTTTCACAGTCAGACCATGTATCTGTCTGCCTACTAACAACGTTGGAACTGAAGGCAATCTAGCACAAGCTCCAAGAACAAATATGTAAGTCGAATCGTCAAAAACTAAGGTGGATTTAGAAACCCAATTGGCGAAAACAAGAACTGAATCTTTGGGGTGAGAGCATCTGATCAAAGTGTTTAGGAGGAACAAGTTTGGTTGGAATACCAAATGGGCATGAAGGTTTGTGCTTTTTGATAAGGTGGAGACTGCTGGATGAGTTTGCATGGAGGGAGGGAGATTTGAGGCCACTGGTGATCAATTGGGCCTGGAATTTTTTTTGGGTTGGTGGGTGGATTTTAGGGTTAGGTTTAGGAGAGAGCTCTGGCTCTTGGGAGATGGTGCATGAGGGTTCTTGGAAGTGAACTTCAAAGGGACAAACAAGCTAAAGAAAAAGCTAATATAAGTGATGGTTTTTTGGGGATGTCTTCAAGACAAAATAGTGAAATAACTAGAGTAGATATGCATACGTAGGTTAGATCAGTTGATCAGAATAATGTATATGTGTTTTTGCAGACAAGTTTAAATTTGATTCATAGCTATTGATGTTAAAGTCAATTTTACTTCGCCGAAACTAGTACTTCGCCGAAACTAGAAATTGTGAAAAAGCAATTTATAAATTGAATTAAGATTATTGCTATTATTTATGGACATACAAATGAAAAACTAAATATTGAAATGGGGTGTGATATCCACACACCCCATTTTACTTCTCACACACCCTTCTAATTTTCGACCGTTGGATCGGATAAATTGAAGAAGATCAACGGATAGAAATTAATAAGGGTGTGTGAGAAGTAATTTGAGGTGTGTGGATAGCACACCCCTATTGAAATAATGAATGAGGCTGCCTCAAACGAAGGCAAAAAGTGACCATCGGTCCTATATCAATAGAGTGAGCTACTGAGAACCACTGAGTATAAAAGCATAATAGAATGTTTTGAACAAACAATAATATTTACATTAAAGGAATGAGGGATTGAACCACACGAGTATAAAAACTTGATAAAATGTTAAAACCCACTTAGCAGCTTCATAATTTGAAATACTTACTCATTTTATTATCATTTTTTAAAAAATTCATTCGACTTGGAATTACTTATTACCATAGATTCAATTTCTCGACATGTTAAATAGAATGAATTAAAATAATGCTCATGAGAAGAAGAATGATCTTTTGCATCTAAAGAGTAAGATTCATCTTTAGAGTAATGATAAGGAGATTAAATTTATTGATTAAATTTTCAAACTAAATTATGTGTCACCAATAAGAAATGAGTACGTTTAACAAAGTTTAAGTAATAATTCAATCATCAACTTCTATATCATTTAGTTTACAAAATTTAGTCTCTCTAGCATTACTCTTATCTTTATTAATCCAGCCTATCGAATATTGGTTAATTTTAAAAATAATTTTCACCATTTAATTTTTTTAAATCAATATAAATATTTACCGTTCGGTTTTCAGACCATCAACCATCCATGTGCAAATCTCTGGTCAATATTAATATTCAAAGGTCCCACCTTTCCCCTTTTTTTTTTTTTTGGAGCCGCCTTCCCCCTTCGATTTCGTGTTATCCGATCTTCCACACCCCGAAACACACAAAATTCAACAAAATCTCCAAAATCTTCAAGAACCCAGGAACCAAAAATCAGGTTAATAAGTTACCATAAAAATTCATGGAGATTTCATCTTTTACTCTGTCCACTCCAAGATCCCCACTTTTTCTCCCTTCCCAATCATCCCAATCCACCTTCTTGACCAGCAATGGCACCACCTCTTTGTCCTTCAGCAAAAGCACTGTAAATGGCAGTGCTTTGGTTCTGAGCAGAAGAAGAACAAGGACTGAGAGAGCCCAGAAGGGTATGACGTGTACCGCTCTGTTTGGTCTTGGGATGCCGGAGCTTGTGGTTATAGCTGGTGTGGCGGCTCTGGTTTTTGGACCGAAGAAGCTGCCTGAAGTGGGGAAGAGTATTGGGAAAACTGTCAAGAGCTTCCAGCAGGTTGGTTTCTTTTCTTCCAGATCTGTTTTGTTGTCGAGAAAATTTATGAACTTTGTTGCCCATTTAATGATTTTTTGTTGTTGTTGTTTGTGTGTGTGGAAATTGGAAGAAAATTGAGATTTATAGTTTGCTGAGCTAAGTAGGGTTTTTTTCTTGAGAAAGTTTATGCAATTTCTGGAATTTTTGTTGCAGTAGCTTTAGTTTCGACGAAAAGGAGGGAAAAAAGAAAGACAATTTAGGGTACTCATGTTTGCGGATATTGTGTTGAAATGGGAGGATAAATGTAAAATTAGAAAGAACGAAATGCCATGCCATGCTTGTACTACCGTGCTGAACTCCAATCGAAGAACATGCTTGTTAGTGGCGATAATCAATGGTAGAAAACACTATGTGTAAGAAGGGGAAGAAAAGTTAAGGTCCTGTTAAAATGGAGTAAATCAAGTGGGATAGCTGTATTGGTGCTTAGTTAAGTAAATGCAACTCTTGGAATGGTGATTAGAATTCTAGTATTCCATTTACTTCCCTTTTCGGCGTTGTGTTGTTATGAATGGGGCAACTCGTGAAATGTTTTAGATTGTTGACTATTGTGGAGTTGTAGACTTGTAGTTTAGTTGTTTCTGCCTTGTGTATGACTTTTGGTTAAAGTAATTGTACAGTTGTTGGTGCCTCCACATTGTGGAAAGAAACTACGGTAATCTCTAAGTTATAGTAGATTTCACAGTGATTTTAATGTGAACGTATTTGTTTTCATCTAAGGTAGTTTTCCTTTCGGTATTGATGGCAACGATTTCAAAGTTATAACATGGTTCAAAATGATGGTGATAGGAAGGAAAATAAGTACAATGGAACCCCTTACTGTTCTTTTTTGAATAACAAACAATAACAAAACAACAACAAAGCTTATCCAACTATGTGGGGTAGGCTATATGAATCCTAGAAAACGCCATCGCTTGGTTTTGCGCCAAGTCTTCCGTTAGCTCTAGGTGCTTCATGTTTTTTTTAAAGTCTCTTTCCAAGTCTTCCTAGATCTTCCTCTACCCCTTTCGTTCTAAGGCTCTAGCTCATAATCGCATTTTCTAACCGGAGCATCTATAGGTCTTCGGTTCATATGTCCAAACCACCTTAACTGATTCTCTCTCATCTTATCTTCAGTTGCGCCCACTCCTACTTTACCTCATATATCCTCATTCTTAATATTGTCCTTTCTCTTATGCCACATCCAACGAAGCATTCTCATCTCCCCTACACTTTGCACGAGTTGAATAATAAACAATATGCATGTAAAATGCAATTCCTTTGCATTCTCCCCATTTTTGCTCTCTGTTGAGTGAACAATGTGAATTGCAAAAATTTGAGTGATGAAAATGAGGGGCTCTAAATGTAAATAATTATTACATCTCTAGGGGATTTATAGGTCTTGGGGAAGGGGAGAAGGGAAAATGTGTCATATGGAAGTTAACATATATGGACGATCAAATTTAGTTTTTGGTTTAGTGATATGGAACCTTTAATGTTATGTTTATGTATTTTATTTTGGAGTGTATGATGTGGGGATTGGGCGAACGGGAGAAGGATCAAATGATTATGAGCAGATGGATGCATATAGATATCAAATTCAAAGAGTTGATACTCGGTTAGAAGTGTGTAATTCATTGGTGGTCAGTGATCACCAAGCATAAAGTTTTCTTGTTAGATTTTTATTTTCATGTTACTTAAAAAAGGTGGGAATAGAAGTATATTCTCCTACAACTTTTGTTAAAAGAAGAAGGATGGCAATTGACGGTTTTGGCTCATTTGGTTGTTAATCAGTACAATATCTAAAAATAATGATCTAATTATTACAGATCCAAATAAATTCCGCATGTCAATTTCCGAGGAATACTGAGCGGTAGGCACCTTACGAAAAAGTTTCGTTCATATTATAGTCTATTAAGCACTCATAAATGGGGAGTAAGAGAAGAAACAGGGATGCATAATTTATTCGTCTGACCCTTAAAATTGGTTAGGATGTGATTTCTTTGTGTATGTGGTAGCACGCGATCGAAGACTAATTTAAATGTTGCTGCTTTCTTCAGTGAGCTTTATTAAGCGAATAGTGTAATCACTAGAAACTTTGAACCGAGTGATTTTATAACTTCTAATTATCTCGTTTTCTCCGGCTTCCTTTCTGTGCTTCTCATAATTCATAAAGAGTGTATTTGAATCCTCTGTAAATCTTGCAGGCAGCAAAGGAGTTCGAGACAGAGCTTAAAAAAGAACCTGAGGGCCTCACAGAGACACCTACAGCGGCCAGTGAAGAAGAAAAACAAGATGCCAAGGTCGCAAGTTCACAGGAAAACGCATGAGATTGTAGTGATATCTCAGTCGATACATTCTCCATTTTTTGTTATGCTGTAAGTTTAGAACAAAAATAACGCAGATCAATATTCTCGTTCTTTATTAATCTACTCGTGTTCTCAGAACATGTTAAGTTAGATCACCTGTATATCTTTTCTTTTCATTTCATTGCAAGGGCCTTGTAGCTCAGTTGATTAAGCGAAGCGCATTTAAGTTAGATCGCCTTAGTTGCTTGTATCAGAAAACTCCTTTCTTTAGTCAAGGGATAGCTTTGCACTTTGCCCTCTCTCTTCACCTCACTGCTTCTCAAAAATTGGACCAAATTATGTTCCCCTTCTAATGCGTTGCTGTTGCCTGCCATGCTCATAAGGAGGAGAAAATCGTATGTCCGGCTGCTCGTATATGGCAGCACTCACAAGTGGTGGGCTCGGGGATAGGACCCATATGCAGAGGGGAACGGCCCGTCACTTTTGAGAATTTTCCGCCATACACAAGGAGCAAGGTATAAGATTTTTCACATTAGGAGGGGGGAGAATAGACCCCAAGAAAGAAGAAC